TGCATTACTACCACAGCTGCGTCCTCTGGGACTCCGAAATCTCAGGATCTAGTTAATTTAATCTTTAACTGGTTCATCCTGGTTCTGTGTAGAAGAGCTGGTACTGTTAGAAAGATAAATAGCTTGAAGAATGCTTTCTTCCTGCTTATCACAAGTTCTTTCCTTGAATGTGCAACACCCGTGAGCAACAACCAGTCAAGAGCTTGTGCTATTCTTGCCAACCAGCCCAACTGTACCAACCAGTTCTCTGTAACCCCCCTTTGTTCCACTTACTTTTGGCTTTTCAGGTGGCTATCCTCATCTTGGCTTAAAACTCCTTTGCTTATACACTCTTGTTGCCAGTAGTGAGAAATGATCACTAGTTCACAGTGCAGTTTTCTTACTCAGCCTCAACACTCGACTTTGCACCCACCCCTACTTGGCAAGGCACAGCTGCCTTTAAAGCAAATGCATCAGCCCTGCCATGCAATACATTTTTAACCCCTTCATCTCTTACCACATTGCATTACAAAATATAAAATTACCTAAAGCTATGTCTTAAATAGTGGCCAAACCTCAAGAGGCACAGCTCTAAGTTTGATCTTGAGGCCACAATATCAGAGGCTTTGCCACTGATAGTAGGTCCATCAATCAGTCAGTCCTTCCTTCCTCCCTCCCTCCACCTCATACCATGTATTTTATTTATTTATTTATTTATTTATTTTCATGTTTACATATCCATCCCCCCATTCCCTTGCCCTCCCCTTCTCCCATGTTCCCCACCCAACCCACCCCTGACTCCTCTCTAGGAGGCCCTCTACCAAGGACCTACAAAGTCTGTCATATTGTTTGGGGGAGGGTCTGTCTCTTAGCTCTTACTTACTGATAGCAAAATCTTCCCATCTTGTCCCATTCCCCACAGGTTACTTTCCTCTGGATTCTTGAAGGAGAAATGAATCTGTCACAGACTCCTGAGTTAGTCCTTGATGTCAAGTCTAATGTCACTACTTCCCCAAACACCACTGCTATCAGTGTAAGGTCTGAATCTCCGGTTCCCAGTTTTCAAACCCTGTTAACTAACTGTCTTGGTCCAGCAATGGGTATTTTCTTACCACATTGAGTGTAGAAAACCATTCAGTGTCCTTCACTCAACATACACACTCACACTAGTCCCTATGAAAGGCTCAAGGACAACAAGGGTAAAGCCCAGCCCCATGTAGAAAAAACTTCACATCTTCAACCTATCCAGTCATCATTTTCCTTATACTCCCTCCTTTTTGGTGGTATTCTTAAATCTTCTCTTTCCCTGTTCCAAATGCTTCTCTTCTTGATTTTCTACCCCATTGGCCTTCTGTTATAGAAGACATCTCTATTTCTGTTATTGTTCTCTGCAAGGGGTATCTAAGTTCACTATTTCCTTCCAGTTATTGCCCACAGACTGTATATAAGCTTTTACAATAACCTGCCTCATACCCACCATGGTGGACTCTAAACAAAATTTCATCTTTTTGTTGTCCCCCCCCCTCTCTGCAAGGAATGCTCCCTCCCCTGGGTTATCTGGCAAGAACAGCAGCCCATCCCTAAAATAGTAATTTTTCCTTCCACATATAAAAACATCATACATTCTAGTCAAATGACTATTGTGCTCTTCAAATACACATGGTAAAAGATTTTCACATTGGGAAATGCTATGATCACCATTTAAGAGAGCCTGAATTGTCTACTAAGTAATTTATTAATTCCTTAAGAAAAATGGCTTATTGATGTCTGTCTTTTTTTTTTTTTTTTTTTTTTTGACACAGTTTTCTAAGTAGCCCCAGCTAGCCTATAACGTCTGATCTTCTCATCTCATCCTGTTTTCTGAATGCTGAGGTTAGAGGTGTGTAACACTGCCTGGCTAGGATACCTTCTTTTATTATACCCTACATTCAACCAACTGACCAACCTAAGATCAGCCCTGTTGTCAGAGGGCTGCTGGAAGGAGTATGACCAAGGGTGGCACAGAACAGCATGTTCAAAGTACTATGTAACACTGGAAGGAGTGCACCAAAGAAAATTCCAGGTGCTTCACAGCTCTGTTTAGCAGTAGCTCAGCTGTATGAAACAGTCCTAGCACCCAAGGTACTTTCAAAATAGGAGGGGCTTCCAAATGCTGCCTATGAGCTGAGAGACAAGGGTTAGGGGTTCTATGTGGTTAGAATAAGTTTTGAAACCAGGAAGAATTTTATCAAGCAGTCATTACCTTGAATTGCTACTCTGGTCTCAAGGAAAAGTGTTGCCTATGGTTGGCTGGCACTAGCCTGCCTGCAGGTCTGAGAGATGTGTAGCACATTTATTTCTGTAAGCAGGCTAGGAAAGCTGTTGAGACTGCTCCACCCTCACAGTACTGTGTGCAGGTGAAGGGATGCTACAGTGCCAATGTTTGTCATCCCTTCATTCAGGTAATAAATACATATGTACTAGAGGAGGACAACTGCATGTACCATCTAATTCATTAATAACTATGTTCTAGGCATCGTGCTTTACCACAGAATACATAAAGTTAGTTTGCTATTTCTTAATCACTATAATGACAATCTTTTTTTTTTTTTTCTTTAAGAGAATGTCTCACTATGTAGCTCAGGTGGCCTAGAGCTCACTAGATAGAGAGATTAGGTCACTCTCTCAGCAGACATTAGTTGCTTATACTTCTCTGGAGGGGGGGAGGGGCTCTTGTGAAACTTCCCTTCCTTGTTAGCATGTCTGTTGGCACTGTCAGGGCCTTTATTCTTCCTCTCCCATTCTCAGCACTTTGAACCTGTTTTGTGCTGCTGCCTCTGATGTTCCATATTTCCTAGGTCTTCAGAACATGATAACCCTCGGCATATTCCTTCCATCAGCCCACTAAAGAGAGAGTGCAGAAGATAAGGCTTGTCTCTTAACTAATTCAAGCACATCAATGGTAACAGTAGCTTACAATGTGACTACTGTCAGGAAATATACAAAACAGTAAGAGAGACAGAAATATAATTATAATCCAAGAATGGAGACCAACTTTCTTATTCAAGGTCGCTGTCCAGCTATATCCAAAATAAATAAAAATGGTCCCGCTAAATAGCTCAGTGGGCAAAAGTGCTTGACACCCAAGCCTAACAAACTGAGTTGTATCCCTGATAGGAATAGATAACCAACTCCTGAAAGATGTCCTCCATCCTCTACTTGTGAGCACCTGCAAACACACACACACCACCACTAATAATAATAATAATGAAAACTTCAAAGGTTATAACAAGTCAGTTCAGTTTGTATTTCATTTTAGTTGGAGAGGAACTGAAAATGCTCTGATATTTTATACATTTGCATTTATATTTTTGTACAGTGTAACATATATGTACATGTCTTTTACTTTAATACTGGCAGAAGTGTTATGAGTTCCTGTCATTGCTCTATAGCTTTGGGCTGAAAGAGTTAATTTACAGGTTGAACAATCAGTAGCAGACGCTGGACTGTAGACACCTGCATCACCAAGTCAAGTGTTTTCCACTCTGCCAAGTTTCTACTATGTTTATGACACATAATTTTAAACTAAATAAAGGAACATTTAAGTATATGAACATAGTAATGTTTTGATTCCATGCATAGCCAGTTTGAAAAAGAGATGGGAATAAGTGGAGCCAAGCTCAAGGAACAGAGACTAAGGGCCAGAAAATGTCAGACGGAGAGACAAGAATAAGGGAGAGAAAGAAAAAGACAGAGAGGTGTATCTGAAGGAAGAATGAATTAAAGGGTCCTTTGAGGCCCTTCTCCAATTTTACAATCCCACCAGTTTTGTCTGCACGTTTTCTATCCATCCCATCTGTCCAAGGAGCTGTGGGCTAGTTTTTCACAGATCCCTAGAACTCTGACCTGATGTCAGCTGAATCACTGTAATTAACTTCCTTCTACTTATCTGTGAATAAAGCTAAAAGCAATTTTCTTGAAATATCTGTACACCTTCTGTCTATAAAAATCAATGAGAAACAAACACTTACCTGATACTACCAAGTACACTGGTAGAAAGAAAACAAGAAATAGGAAAACAGGATGACTACCATCTAAACAGTGAATATACAAGCCTTCCTACAAATATTCACATTATTCACTATTCTGTAAGGTATATAATGAATAATAATATAATAATAAAATGCTTATAACACATTTATTGCTTTTAGTTTATCTAATTGCTTAGATAAATTTGGTTACTGCTTTCAAAATTATGTTAAAACATGCTACCACACTGGCATTTAACAAATTCTTGGTTTGGTATACTATTTTAATGAGAACAGGCTTCATAATACTGTCTTTGAATCACAGATCCAGCTTAGTAACCTCATGGCTTTGGGGAAATTACTTAAAACCTTGAGTCTTGAGTTCTTATCTATAACATGGGATGAACTGGGCTAGTGAGATGGCTCAATGAGTAAGGGTTCCTGTGCCTGAAGACGTGAGTTTGATCTCCCGATCCCACAAGGTGGCAGGAGAGAATACACTCAGAAGAGTCATCCTCTGACATGTGGATTAGGACACACAACTACCTCGATACACACACACACACACACACACACACACACACACACACACACACACACCAATAAATGGATGCAATTTAAAATGGATTGAATAATGAAATATTTGCCATAAAGGTAGTTCTAAGAATGAGTTACGTGCTTGAAATTGTACCGTGTACACAAGTACTTGTTATTTCTTGTGAACAACGGTCATTAACCTAGGTGCAGAAAACTTAACTACAGTATGCCTTTTTGCCTGTTAATGAATCTGACTGTAAAGGTTTATGAAATCTGTTTAATATCACAATATGTGGACATTAATTGTTTTAAGTTTGGACTTATTTGCTGCTGGGACATGAGTCATTTGAAGTCAAATATGGACACTCATTATTTACTGCTGGGAACCAGGGGGGACATCAGTCATTTGAAGTCAAATATGGATGCTCATTATTTACTCTCAAGAAGCAGGAGGACATCCTTGCCCAGAGCCTTCACCTCAAAGTCTATCAGCTGCAGGTCGGCTATCAGTGTCACCAGCAGTCCACTGCTGTAGAGCTCTTGTGCCAGCTGAGCCACTGGTTCTGTAGGGGGCTCCTTGTCATTTGTACCACACAGAATTTCCTTCATTGATTGCAGAGATTTCGACACTTCTTCTGAAGCCTGGTGGCCAGAAAGTATGTTATCAGTTAGAAAGAATACAAATTTTAGGTTTTAAGGAAGCAAACAGCTCCCCACAACACAAACACAGACACACAGACACAAATATGCACAGACATACACAGACAGAGATAAACACACATACACACACAGAGAGACATACACTTCTTGGGCCTTATCTATTTATAACCAAAGATCATTTTCTGGCCATAAATAAATAATAGCAGCAGCAGCAGCATTAGTAGTATTCCTTTTTTCAATCTTAAAAAATGTTACTAAAATTTATGTGGAAAGATCCCTAATATTTCTTCTTAGACAATATAACCGAAGTCTCAAACAATACCCATAGTCTCATCTGGTATAAACAAAAAGAAAGTGTATTCTTGAAAATTAAGTACAGTGTTTTGAGGACTTATCAATGGCTACAAGTCTTTATTTAAGTCTTTTGCTACAGTTGTTCAGTCTGTTTAAGTCTGTTGCTACCTTGATCTTCCAATGGTTCAGGAATAAAATCCCAAGTTGTCAAAACTCATAAGCTTTTGACATACTTGTTCCTCCTACATAACCATATTTTTTGTATTAGTAAAACTTAAAGCAGTTTACTATAGTTCAGGAATAATAAGAGAATCCATAGAGGCAGAATGTAGTCAAGTCCGGGGAGTGGGCTGTGAGGAATGATTACTAACGGGTGTGGGTTTCTTTTGGGAATGATGGAAATGTTCTTGAATTAAATAGTGGTGATGGTTGCACAATCTTGGGAGTTGTAAAAACCAGAGTTGAGAAATTACTTGGTATGAGAATTCTATCTCAAAAACCCTATTAAACTAGTGCAGTTGACAAAAGAAAAAGACTAATTTAGTTAACAATTTGTGTTTCTATTTTTAAAAAAGTATATTTTGGTTGATTTTACATTGCAATATCAGTCATCAAAATGAGAAGAAAAGGAGTGGAGTAAGACAAATTACAAAAAATGACTCATGTCAGCATGGTACTACTTTTAAAAAGGCATTTCTCAAATTCTTTAGCTTATTACAGGCTTAAGAATAATTATGAAGACAAGCTCCCTGCTATCATGAATCCAAGTGAGGAGACCATATTTTCAGCACACCATCACTTGTGCACCTTTTTACCTTTATGTATTTCATGAAATTACCATAATTTGGACCTTAATTGTTCCCCAAAGATGCATGTGTTCAGTGTGGCAATCCTGGAGGTGGTAGGGCCTAAGGGGAGGTCTCTCCTAGTCACTGGGAATATGCTTTTGAATGGGATTGTGGGATGGACCACATGATCTTTTTTTTTTCTTTCTTTCCTTTCCCAACCCAGCTACAAGCCATGTCACATGTTCCCAACATGATGTGCTGTCCCTACCAGAGGCCCCAGAGCAATGAGGCTGACAGACCACAGACTGAAGTTTCCAAAACTCTGAGGACAAATAAACTTTACCTTTTTATAAGCTAGTGATCTCAGGTATTTTGCTTTAATGTCATCTAACTTCCACAATCACAACTGTTTTACTTTTTTCTATTTTCCTTACCTTTGTGTGACATAGTTCTAGCTCCTCTAATTTTGAAATTTAAGGAAGACTTGTACCCTTTCACAATTTACTCCTTTTCCTCAGCTTTCCATTGGTGGAACTCATCTCTGTGGCTGCATGGAGGCAGCAGTTCATCAAGAGCCCCCCTCTCTACTCCTCCACTCATGGGTGGGTGTGCTGCAACCAACATCTTTCTTGGTCCTATTGTTGGTGAACTTGGGGGGCTGTTCTTATTGAGAAGCTCTGAACTACAATGCAGTGTACATTCTCATGTTTTTCCTGGTGTGCTGTTGTGGAACGTTATTTTAACTAGGCAAAGATTGTTATATTTGTTTATGCCGCAGAATATTACCTTAACTGTGTAAAGGTGTGTTACTTTTGTTTATGCTGCATTTGTTTAATTGTATAAAGATGTGTTGCATTTGTGTCACTCTGCCTGCCTAAGACACCAGCTTCTTCTAATAAAGAGCTGAATGGCCAATTGCTAGGCAGAACAGGGATAGGTGGGGCTGGCAGGCAGAGAGAATAAATAGGAGGAGAAATCTAGGCTCGAGAGAGAAGAATGAGAGAAAGGGAGAGAAAGAGAGGAGAGAACCATTTGGGAGGCAGAGGTAGGTGGATCTCTGTGAGTTTGAGGCCAGCCTGGTTTCCAGAGTGAGTGCCAGGATAGGCTCCAAAGCTACACAGAGAAACCCTGTCTCAAAAAACCAAAAGAGAAAGAGAGAGAGAAAGAGAGAGAGAGAGAGAGAGAGAGAGAGAGAGAGAGAGAGAAGAGAACAAGTGAGATGATGCTGGGGTCAGAAGCTGGGAAGCCATCAGCCAGCAGACACAAGAAGCAGTGACAGTGAGATAAACAGAAGGAAAGAAAAGTAAAAAGCCCAGAGGCAAGGGTAGATAAAGGGAAACAGGTTAATTTAAGTTAAAAAGAGCTGGCCCAAAATGAGCCTAAGCTAGGCCGAGCATTCAAAACTACTAAGCTTCCGTATCATGATTTGGGAGATGGTTGATGGCCCAAAAGAAAAAAGCCTGGTACAGTGCACATATTCAAAAATGTGCCAGACAATGTGTCCAGGTACCATTAGTGGGTATTTCCTACTCATCAGATATGACTGAATATGTCTCCAAAGTTCAGTGTGCTTTGTCACTTGTGAGCATACTTGTTCCTGCTCTTAACCCTCATCAGCACTGCTGTGAATGTGGTATGGGCTCAACTGGCCTTTCCCCAATTAATAATGAAAACTAGGATAGTTTTTTTCCTTTTTGTTGTTTACCATTTAAATTTATGCATACTTTATGAGGGTTATTTTTAGTTTCTAATTGAACCAAAATTTGGCACAATATCTCAAAGAATATCAAAATTAGAACAAGATATTTCTCCAATTCCTTCAAAGGCTTAAGGTTTTATTACATACTGAGACAGAAGCATACTATGACCCTAAGGTCTTTTATTTTATAACAGGTCATCTTGAATGTAGTCAGTGCAGAGGGAATGAACTATGCAGGACTTAAAATTCCTTCAAAAGGATGAACAGAACAGAGCCTTCCTTATGAGGAAGTCCCCTTTGGTCAGACCTTAGAACAATGTGGAAGGAATGTGCTAGTTCTCTTTCACATCACCTTGACACAATACATTGATACAGTTCTGATGTCTACAGAGACTTGGGATGGGCCAAGAGGCTCTGGACAGTGAACTAAAGGTCCAGTATAACATACCCAACATTTACTAGCTGCACAAAAAACTGAAACAACCTATAAGCATAGCAGGGACCACACTTAATTCTTCATTAAGCTTTTACATGGGCTTGGCCTTGAAATACGCACATTTTAATAATGGTTTTGTTTTGAATCATACCTTGTCTGTCTTTTTGTCTTGCTTTTCCAAAATGGCCAGGTTGTCTTTCAGGATTTTCACAATTTCTGCTGGATTTTTGTGTGATTTACTAAACAAAGGCATTTTTTTCATGTCTAAAAATCTCTTCTTTCAATATGGAATGCTAAACAAACAAAAAAACAAGCCAAGTTAAAACATGGTAGGTAACTTCTAGGTCCTAGCATGCCCATTTCTCTGCAGACTGGCCATCCTCATCCACTCTCAGCCTGGTACCTTCCCAATGGCACAAACTTGGCTGCTGATTTTACTCTCTGAGCACTGCTCAACATGTGTCTAGCTTACCCACTCACACTTAAAAATGAGCCAACTGTGACTCAGAACCATTTGCTACACAGATACAAGCTCAAGTTAGCATGTGCCTCAGTTGCCTAGCATGTGCAAGGCCCCTTCATTCCTTCCCCAGTGCTAGAAAAACAAAACTTGAGTTTCTAGTCTTGATGAATGGACTAGACTCAAAAGTTAATATTCATGACTATCATTTTTCTATTTTAAAATAAAAAGGCTCTTAAAGTAAACCAGGAAAGGTTAAATAATGATAATGGTAACATTTTTAAACCTAAAATGATGGCAAAGGATAATATATATATAATCATTATATTTTTATGGGTACTTTATAGCAATATGAAGAAAATAGTGTTATTCCATAAAATATAACAGTAAAGGGGGTAGTGGAGAAAGTGAGATATAACAAAAGGAAACAAGGATCAGAGTCACAATAGGAAAGGATATGATGGCTTATGCCTTATATGAAGAAAAGAAATATGTAAACTCCATCACCTAAGGGACTTTTCTAGACAAGAATAATGACAAACTTAAGTTTGTCTTGCAGCTTTTAAAAGAAGCGAATGATGCCCTTTTAAAGCACATTCCAATAGAAGAGCCTTTCAAAAACAACAGCAATGCAAAAAAAAAAAAAAAAAAAAAAAAAAAAAAAAAAAAAAACATCCTTAGACTGTCCAGTTGCATCCATTCCCACAGACCCATGAGAAAATAAGCATGGTTCTGGAAAGGAAAGTGTATAGCTTCACAACTAAACCTCTAGTTAACATACAATTTCTGGATACACAGATTATATATGGCTACAAATATAATGCTGAAAAGATTAAATCAAGCCCACAAATAGCTCAACAAAATTAATGCTAAAAATCAGAAATGGTTCTTGAAAGGAAGCCTTTATATAGTTGTCAGGACAAATGTGAGGGTGTGAATCTACAATTATAATTCATTTGTATGGGGACAGCAATAAAAAAGCATCTAAAAAGTTAAAAAGGAAACCACCCCAAATATCTCCAAGAAAAGAATAGAAATAGTGATAGAAGTAGAAAGAACTGAATAAGAGACAAGGAAACAAATTCCCTGTAGCCATTTCATCCCTGTTTTGGTAACATCTGTTTGCCTTGTGCCACACCCCAACCCATGCAATGGTGGGATGACCACCTGAGCAGTGTCAGGCTCCACAATTAGGTCTCAAATGGACTGTGACACAAGCTAATCAAAATACAAAAAGATGAAAGATAGCAAGTGTTAGTGAGACTATGGACAGAAGGGGACTCCTGTGTACTGCTGGTGGAGATGTAAATTGCTATAGCTAGGACAAGAAATGGTGTGCAGGTCCTCAAAAAAAAAAAACAAAAACAAAAACAAACAAACACACACACACACACACACACACACACAAACCCCCACCGGTAGAACAGTTAACTATTTGGTCAGTGTTCTTACTTCAGGAGACATATCCAAAGGGACTAAACTCAACATGTGAAGGGATATCTGCATACCGTGATCATCCCAGCATTACTCCCACAGTTAACACATATGATTAACTTATGTCTATGAATGGATGAATAGAGACAGATACCACAGAATGCTATTCAGTCTTAAAAACAGGGAAATCAGGCCAGTGAGATGGTTCAGTGGGTAAAGCACTTGCTATGCAAGCCTGACAACCTGAGTTCAATCCCTAGAACCTATGTTAACAGTAGAAGGTGAAAACCAATTCTACAAGCTGTCCTCTGACCTCCACATAACTCTCCTCCACCCCCACACACTAAAACTTAAGGAGGGAGGGTCATGTCACCTGTGACTACACAGATGGATCATTACCAAAATAAGCCAAGTATAGAAAGACAAGTATTCTAAAACAACTGAAATCATAGAAATTCAGAGTACTATGATGGTTGCCAGAGGCTGGGCTGAGAAGGGAGGGAATGAGCAGTTGTTGATTGAGAATTTCAGATAGGCAGAGGGAATTGATTTTTAGATCTAGTACCATAGGGTGACTGAGAGCAATAATAATACAGTTCATATCTGAAAATAAAATTCAATAGCACTTTCCCTCATTGTTATTTTAAGTTAAATGAAGTAATATATTCTAATCTAAATAAAGTTATTTTGCTATAATATTTATTTAATATAAGAAATTATAAAGTTTTAATGCTCTAAAATGGTTAGATAAATAATTTAAATGATTTTTTTTAAAATTTTCATCACTTTTAGTTATGTGTATGCATGTGGGTCTGTATGTAGGTGTGTGCATAGAAGAAGTGCTTGGAGAAGCCAGAGGCATTAAGAACTCCTGAATCTGGAGTTATTTATAGACCTTTGCTAGCCAACCATCATGGGTTCTGGGAACAGAACTCCAGTCCTGTACAAGAGAAGTACATGCTTCTAACTGCTGGGCCATCCAGCCCCTAAATAAAATACTTATAAAAGAGTAGAAAGCTCCCGATCCATCTCCGTTGGAAGAGGTGAAACAGAGCAAGATCTCTAGCTGCCATGGAACATCCTAATATATAACTATGCCCCAACAATCTGATCTGTCCTAGAGAATCTCACTGCTCTCACTGTTTATGACCACAAACATTACTGTATCACAGATTCCTTTGCCTGTGTGTGTGCACATATGTGCCAGGGTTTTCCCAGAGAAGTGGTTTCAGTGCTTGACTGGAAAGTCTAAACAGTATTAAAACATCAATGATTCCTAAAATTCATGGTTTGATATAGTTCCAATTACAGGTTAAAAAAAAAAAAACTAACTGAGTTTATTAGTGAAAGCAGGTAAGTAAAGACAATAGATTTGGCTATTTTATATTTTTGCAAATGAAAATGAAACCAGAGCCTTGAGACTAAGTTTGCTTCCTATCACAGTGTGTTTCCCACAACCAGTAACAAAATTTAAAAAGATTAGCAAGGAGGAAATGAAATGAAAGTGCAATGAACTACTGTAAGTAACAGTAACATCAGAAAACACACAGATAAATGGGAAAATATCAGAAACAACTGTTAATACAAACAAATTTCTAAAATTTTAGAAGCAATGAAATAAATCTCAAAGAAGGGGCTGGGAGTATAGCTTAGCAACAGAGTGCTTGCTCAGCTACTCAAGGCTCAGAGTTTATATTATTCCCACAACAGCAAAACAACTCAAACAAAGAGACTGGAAAGTCAATGTTACTATAAATATACTACAAATACAAAAAATTTGAGTTTCTATCCATAATTAAAACTTCACGCACAGGAGAGAACTCTGTGCTAGGTGTCCCATAGAGAATTGGTTAGCTTTACTCCAAAGGAAGACCTCAGCCAGGTTGAGGCAGGTCATGAGTTCAAGGCCAGCCTGAGCTTCACCCTGAAAATTAACCAGTTAAAACTGAACATCTCTTTGAGAAGAAAAAAAATCCATCAGAGAAATACATAAACAACAGAAAACACAGAGGAAATATTGTTAACAAATACATAGTAAACATTTAGCCATTCCTTTTTATTTAAAGCTAAAAACTTTCAAAGTGAAAATTTATTTTCCCCATAAACAATAAGTGAGTTTTGGTTTTGTTGTTTTATTTTGTTTGGGACAATGTAGTCCAGGCTGTCTTTATACTGGTTATGTAGCTGAGGATGGCCTCGAACTTTTGATTCTTTTGTATCTATCTCCCAAGTCCTGGACTTACAGAGGTGCAACACTATACCTGGCTAACAATGAAGCCTTTTGTTATTGTATTGACAAAACTCTAACTGAATGATGGTGCAATGCAACTGGATCTTTCATTATTAACTAGTGAGAGCACAATAATTTGGTCTTATGTTAGATACAACCTCTGACTTAAAAGTAAATTCACTTCTGACAACCTAAGATAATAAAAATATGAGCCATATTATCCCACCTTTATATGCAAATTTATATAGAACAGGTTCATTGCATTATTTATTATAAGAGTGAAAAACCGAAGAAGAGTCTAAATGTCTCAAAAAAAGGAAATAAATAATGATATAACCACCCTATATACTAGTAGTAAATGTTGTGGGTTTTTCCAATTGGAAAGAAAAAGTTTTCTAAATACTAACACCTCCAAAACCTAGATGTGTCTCTTGGCTGATCATGCTTCACATTAACTGGCAGGACACCCCACCACCACCTTTAAGTGACAGATAAATTAGTCATGTTCTTTACCACCAAGAGCTTCTTAAATTTGATGAACCATGATTTATGACTATGACAATGTTTCTAAACAATGTGGAATAGAATGGAAATTTATTGTTGAAAACATTGTCATGTCCACATTACAGGGCACAACTGCAACTATGTAATGCAAATAGAAATACAAACCCAGAGCCTATGCACAATAAAAATACTTTTTAAAAAAGCTAATAGTTTGGCTCCATTTGCAAAGTGTTTATGGCACTAGCATGATGAAATACATTCAGTCTCTAGAACCAACCTAAAAGCTGGGTGAGGTGATATGCACTTGAAATTTGTACATCTGAAAAGTAGAGATAGGTGGATCTCACTAATCTAAACTGAGAGTCCCAGGTCCAAGTGAGAGACCTGTTTCAAAAAGGTTGACAGCCTTCTTGAGAAATACCTCAAGCTGTCCTTTGGTTTCCAAACATATGTGTGCTTGTGTAGCTCCCCCGCCAACTCACACAGAGTTAATAGTAGATACCTCTGGATAGCACAGTCAAACAATTTAATAAAAAGTAAATGCATTCATCATGGAAACACCTCTCATATGGTACTTAAAATTACTAAACAGCCTTTTTGTTTTAAAGTCCACACTGGAATTCTGACCCTCCCCATCTTTTCAAGCCATTAGTCAAATATAATTT